CCTTAAACAAATGGCCAATGTTGGTGTCCCTTCATTTTACATTTGTGGTGAATTTTATCAGATTTTGCCACAGTAATGCAAAATCTAAATACATATACGTGTTATCATACGAACTAAAGTAAGTTCTTTATGGTTGCCAAACAATAGTTTCAGGTAGACACGAACTTACATGGCAGTTTATATCTCTGCACACCCAAGTGCAAATCACTGCACCTTTCCAGATGCCGTAAGAGAAAGGTTATGCGAAAGCGGTTTGTGTAGTCGAGCTGGCAGCCTCAGCTCACATCATTTAGGACCTGGTGGCATGTGCTAACATTCGGGGTCAAAATAGGCGCGTAGTAGTGAGCAAATAGTGGTTGAACACAACAATTTAGCAGATTTTCTAGTCAGAAATGCTATAGAATACCATCTGTCTTGTTGAAACGTAGTAATTTGGGTACCTTTTGGTTGGCTCTGTTATCTGAGGCCTCTTCTATATCTGTAAAAATCTGTTTTGCTCATATCTTTCATAAGGGTATGGTTAGAGCAACATCTTTCGGGTTTAATTGTTCGGATCTCCTAGTCAAAAGGTGTCGAAACCTAGTACGAATAATATTGGCATCCGTGAGAGTGAGGGGAGCGTCATGCTTCCTGTGGGTAATCGACGTAGATTAAATGCCTGTTCTTCCCGGCTTCTTACGTAGACCTCGCCTTGCGATGGCACGGTACTTTATCTTGGTCCCGTTGATCGCGAGACGCGTATGCTGGAGCAAGTGAAGGGGGTTACTTACAATATGGATGAGTTTCTGGGCCCTCTGGCAGACACTGATACGGAAAAAGACGAAGGGGATCACCGTCAACTTTATCAGTGTGTTATCTACCTCGCACCCGGTGATTATCACCACTTCCAATCGCCTGCCGACTGGACAGTCAGAACTCGACGTCACTTTACTGGTGAGGCTTTCAAACTATCTCATATTATTCCTATCTTTTGTTAAAGCTCATTTTCACAGTTCGTGAATAGTTTTGTAGTCTTGGATCGGATGTTCTTTACAGCCAGCTGTAATCCTTCAACGTCCCCTTATTGTCCCACATACCAATTGTTTGATTTGGAGACAATCTTGACGGATTCAATATTGCTTTCAAAGTTTGTGGCAAAAACCAAATGAAATTAGCCGAGTAGTCGGGGCAAGTTCATTAAGCTCATTAATGAAAGCTCGGAGATTGAAATGTTCACTTAATAGTGCATCAGTAGCGACAATATTTTAACATCAAATCAGACAAATTCAACTGGATGTCTGTAGCTTGTTGACCTAATTTTGTGCGCATAACCGGTTCAAAAAAAGATATTTCGTTAATAAGTTGCAATCTCTTGTAGGTGGTACTTTGAGTCTCCAGTTTTCTGTGGTGCATGCATTACAAAGTAAAGGTTATTCTGTCAGTTGAACACTTTTCTGTACCCATGTGCATTTGTCTTTCTTATTAAACTTCGTACAGCCCCATTTCACATGCTACAGAAACTTCTAATGAATTTTATGGTGCCTAAAGTAGGAGGAGCATATGACGCGTCAGAGAGGTTAGTTTGGGTTAGGTGATGAAACACCCATAGAGCCATGGGTGGAAGTGCATTAATGAGGAATAGCGCGTTATTAATGGCATTGCATTAATTCGATACTAACGTGCTGATCTTTAGCCCTCTTGCTTAACATAAGTTATAAAACCATTGCTCTATTACACACGTCAATTCGAAAACATGCGTGGGGAGGAAGCAAATCACTCGCCAAAACAATACCGTCGGCATTGGCAGATTCCATTAGGCTTGAAGAGCTATAAATTTGTTTTGCCTTTACGGTCTAAAAGGGTCGTTTTTAGGCTGTTGGGTGTTTTGCTCGATAATGCCACTGGGTGTGCTCTGAGTCAACCCAAAACGGCCAAAATACTTTATTCTTTAAATGCTAAAACCACCCTCTTAGGTCATTATGATTGTATAACTACGAAATATTGTACCAGACTTCAGGTTGTCGTCAAAGTTGCAATTAGAAGTGCTCAATAACGGTCATTCTTGCCCTCCCCTAATCGTACTCAAGAGGGTATAAAAAACTTCGCGACGCGTGCACCATACGTTAGTTAACAGTCAACTATTGCCACTCGACAG